TATCTCCCCTAACTTTGAGTGTATTTGGCTCTAGACTATCTTTGATGTTGTTGTCGAGCGAGACAAGGAGAGAGGGAAGGTGGAGCCTTAGTGGGCTAGCGGTGACCTTGTTGCCAGATACGCTCAATTTCAGTGGCGGGAATATCTTCTAGGCTCCGGATCCCATCACCTGGCCATTCGTGGTCTGGGGCCTCGACATGGTCGGACCCCTCAAAAAGGCCCCGGGCGGCTTCACTCACCTACTCATAGCGGTGGACAAGTTCACCAAGTGGATAGAGGCGTAGCTCATCACCAATATCCACTCAGAAGAGGCGGTCAAGTTCTTCCTTGACATCATCTATCGGTTTGATGTTCCTAACTGTATCATCACCGACCACAGAACAAACTTCACTAGGAAGAAGTTCCTGGACTTCTATGATGGATACGGCATCAGGATCAATTGGGCCTCGATTAGACACCCGCGTACTAACGGTCAGGTCGAGCGGGCCAATGGCATGGTCCTCCAAGGACTCAAGTCCCGCATCTTCGACCGACTCAAAAAGTATGTCGGGCGATGGATTGCAGAGGTCCCAGTGATCCTCTAGAGCCTAAGAACGACCCCAGACCAGTCCATAGGGTTCACCCCTTTCTTCCTCGCATACGGAGCCGAAGCAGTGTTGCCCTCCGACCTCGATCACGGCGCCCCAAGAGTAAAGGCCTTCGACCAAGACCGAACCACGGAGGCTCAATAGGACGCGGTCGACCTGCTCAAGGAGGCTTGTGAGACGACCATCATCCACTCCGCTCGTTACCAGCAAACTCTCCGCAAGTACCATGAAGGAAAAATCAGGGGGAGGATCCTCGAGGTCAGTGATCTCGTACTCCGGAGGACCTAGTCAACCAAAGAGAAACATAAGCTCTCTCCACCATGGGAAGGACCCTACACGGTGACCAAGGTGATCCGACCAGGCATCTACTGACTGAAGGATGACAACGGCAACGTTCTCACCAACACATGGAACATCGAATAGTTACGTCGTTTCTTTCCCTAAAACTCGGTCTTACCGTTTATTTCCATTCAACGTTTGCACCTACAGTGCCCCAGCCTGAGCACTCTTGGCCTGGATCGCTCGAGGGCCCCACAGGGGTGTGATACCACCCTCCATTTTTGCTCGCTTGTTTTTGCATATCTATAATAATTTATCAATGACAAATCTGACAAACTTTTTACCAAAAATGTTCTAGAAAAGACACAAACCACATTGCATAGTCACTGCAAATTTGAACGTTGGAGGTTCTCTAGATCAAAGGGCAAGCAATAGGAACACCAGAATATTGCCCAAGCAGGCAAGCTTCTAAAGTCAAATCAATCTGGATGGAATTTCCTCTCCATTCTACAGAGTCTCAAATTGATATGAAACCGCTAAAAGCGTCTTCCTCTTGATTACTTCCGCTAAAAGTTTAACATCTTCCTCTTGATTACTTCTAGTACATTGCCTGTTTTGTAAAAAAGAGGGGTATGAATCTACAAATAAGCAGATGAACCTTGAAACTTAAAGAGGTGATAGCAACAGCCAGAAACAGGATCAACCAAAGATTCTGGCCTATTTTATGCAATTGCTATAGCAACAGCCAAGAGCCAGTGTACCAATGCTAAAGTTGATTTCTTACCTAGATCCTACTGAGTGCTGGCTGAAATCTGGACACAAAAAGAAGCATTCGATAACATCAAGGGACAAAACTCAGGAATATCTTACAATGGGGGAGGTCTGCAAGTAATAATATATAGCAAACGTTGCTTTCCATATGCCAAATTAAAATAAATACTGAATGTGTAATTAAACTGTTAGTTTACTAATTGTTTTGAGCCACTAAAACCTGTATACAGGATATAATGTCTGGAAGCAAGATATAAATATATACAATAGTACAATAAAAGGAACAATTGATGCCCCGAACATACCATTTCTAAAGACAAGTCTAGTAATAAATAATTAATTACAGACACAAAAATGCAATTGTGTTGAAACGGCACAACATGTAATCAGATAATAATTTTTTTAGTTCAATATTATTGCCACTAACTATACCTGAGTAGATATGTTTTGGATGCAAGATCAGTTGTTGGCCAGCTTCTCGGTAATTCAGTAGTGGCACCGTCCCCTTAGTTCGTCATCGCTGCATGGCATCAGTCGAAATATTCTGCAGAAACTTTCACGAGGTAGATGCGGACCAGCACCGCCGTGGAGATGGGTAGAGGGCTTTTAGGTGACAGGTATTTTATAATTCCTTCGCTCTTTTATAGTACAGAATAGATAGATATAGATTAGTACCAACAGTAACCTGTCAAGTCAGGTTTGGGTAATCCTTAGTATGTCTGTGGCTGGGTGCGTGGACAGTTTGGTTGGGAGTTGTCTGTGGAAAGTGAGTTACCAACTTCAGTTTGGTAGTGCCTGGGAGTGCAAGCAGATGGTTGAGTCTTCCTGGGAAATTTGGTGGAGCTCACTCCATGACTCCATGCAGGTTTTAGACCAAGGTGTTCTAAGCCTTGTTCTCGAAAAAAATAAGTGTGCCTGTATGGGGTCCAGGTTCAGCATAATTGCCATGTCCTCAGGTTTGGTGCAGAGTTGTTCGTGCTAATCAAGGGATGGTGCCAGCACCTGAAGGATGGTTTTCTGAAATGGAAGAAGATATCGGTGGCTAGTTTGTTTGGCGAGTTAGAAGATGAAGCACTACCGGAAACGTCAAATTTGCCGAGTGTTTTTGTGTTTGCCGAGTGTATTCTCTCGGGCACTCGGCAAACAAGTTCTTTGCCGAGTGCTGCCATCAAAACACTCGGTAAAGAGGCGGTTTGCCGAGTGTCAAAAAAAACACTCGGCAAAGATGGGGTTTGCCGAGTGTTTTCTTTTTTACACTCGGCAAAGGAAAAAATATTTTTTCTGGGAAAGAAAGAGAAGAAAAAAAATGAAAAAAAAATCTTTGCCGAGTGCCCAGATCTAGGATACTCGGCAAAGTAAAAAATATTGTTTTTCTGGGAAACAAAGAGAAGAAAAAAAATGAAAAAAAAATCTTTGCCGAGTCCACAGGTCTAGGACACTCGGCAAAGTAAAAAAAATTCTAGAAAAGAAAGAGGAGAAAAAAAATGAAAAAAAAACTTTGTCGAGTGCGCAGATCTAGGACAGTAAAAAAATATTTTTTTCTGAGAAAGAAAGAGAAAAAAATGGAAAAAAAAATCTTTGCCGAGTGCCCAGATCTGGGACACTCGGCAAACGAATTTTTTTTAACCCCAGCGGACGCCCCCTCGGTCTCCCCGCACGATCCCCTTCTCCCCACGCCGCGTCCGCACGACGCCTCCCCTTCTCCGCGCACGGGCACGCGCCGCCCCCTCCCCGCGCAAGCGCACGCGCCGCCCCCTCCTCCATCTCGGCCCCCTTTGCCGCCTCCCCTCCCTCCCTCCTCTCCTCGGCCAGCCTGGCCTGCCTGCCCTCCTCCTCCCTCGCCGGCGCAGCCGCCCTCCCTCCTCCCCTCGCCGGGCGCACCTCCCTCCTCCACCCCGCCCCCCAGATCCGGCCCGGGCTTGGCGGATCCGGCGGCGATGGTGGCATGGGAGAGGCGGATCCGGCCCCGGCGTGGCCGCCCCCTCCTCTCCCTCTCTTCCCACCGCCGGCGCCCCTCCCCCTCCTCTCCCTCCCCTCTCTTCCCCGGCGGCGGATCCGGCGCGGCTGCCCCCTCCTCTCCCTCTCTTCCCACCGCCGGCGCCCCTCCCCCTCCTCTCTCTTCCCCGGCGGCAAATCCGGCCCGGCCGCCCCCTCCTCTCCCTCTCTTCCCTGCATCCGGCGGCCGCGCCCTCCTCTCCCTCTCTTCCCCGGCGTGGCGGGTGGTGGCGTGGTGGTGGTGGGCGACGGTGGCAAAATCGGTCGTTCTCCTGGAGGCAGGCCCAAGCCAGCCCTCCTACTCGTTTCCCTCACCGCCCCGGTTCATTCCGCACCGTAGCCGCACCTCCCCGCCCCTGCTCGAGCTTGTGCGCGGCGCGCGCACGCCATGGCCGCCGCCGTCCTCTTCCTTCGCTAGAGCTCAAGCTCCTCGCCGGATCTGCGTCGGGCCCTCCTCCATGTCGAGTGGGACCTACTAGAAGAGGAGGACGACGTCCTTGTCGCCGTCGTCGGAGGCCATGGAGCTCCTCGCCGGAGATGCGCTCCACCTCCTCGCTCGAGCTCCTCCGCTGCCGTACCCGAACCGCCGGAGCTGCTGGGTGGTGGTGGCTTTTTTTCGAAAAAAAATGTTTGTGTGGCTTTTTTATTTATTTTTCAAAAAAAATGTTTGCCGAGTGTATTTTGGGCACTCGGCAAAGTCTTTGTCGAGTGTCCGACAAAAAACACTCGGCAAAGTCTGTTTGCCGATAAAAATTTACCGAGTGTCGTTTGCCGAGTGTCACACTCGGCAAACCCTTTGCCGAGTGTTTTTTAGGCTTTGCCGAGTGCCAGATCTCCTGATTCCCGTAGTGAAGGTAGGTTGTGTTGCTGTTCGGGAGCCAAGTTTTTGTTTGTACTCCTAGATTGCGAGTAGTCCTTTTAGTATCCTTGCCTAGCTTGGCGGTCTGCCAAATCTAGGGAGCCGTTTGCGCCGCTAGTGCATGTAATTCTCTCTTCTCCTTAGTAATATATGCCAGCTATGTTCCGGATCTTTCAAAAAAAAAGCTATCCAAAATGCATGGTGGATCATACATATGTGGCTGTCGTTGGTTATAATTGGACGATAAATATATATAATGTCCCAAAATGGCACTTGAACTAGCTAAAAGACACTTGTGAGGCCGGCCATTCATGACGTCGTTCTCCATGCACTAGAGAGGCATAGATGCAAGGAGAGCCAACAAAGTCAATGCTGCATCCTAAGCCACAAACTCTGAGTGCAAGCCTGCAAAAATAGACGGTGACTGACCTATAAGTAAGGTCCGAAGAAGGTATATATATGCTCATACAGAGTTCATTGCAACCAACAACGAGTAGCTACTAGCCACCATGGCTTCTTCCTCTACTCATAGCTTCCTGCTGCTTTTCCCCCTCCTACTGCTCCTCTCCACGGTCGTCGACTCCGGTAGCGCGCCAACCCCAGCCCCTGCAGCTACAGCAGAAAAGTACCAGAAATGGTGCCAAGTAGCATCGGATTCTCAGTCGTGCATCAAGGTGATTGAGTCCATCCCTGGGATCCAGGAGGTTGATTACAATAACGCTAGCAAGGTCGCCGACTTGTGCATGCATTTTGCTGCCAATAAGACAACGGAGGCCAAGGGAGCTGCTGACACCTTGCTTGCTGCAGCAAAGGGCAAGCCTTCCAGTTGCCTCAAGGCCTGCGCCACCGACATCAAGTCAATGGCCGAGGTGTTGGTCAATCTCCCTGCTGGGCAGGACGACATGAACGCCTATCTCACCTTTAAGGATGTCAGAGCCAAGTTTAAAGACGAGAAACCACCAGCCTGCGAGAAGGACTGCTGGAACAAGACGTCATCGTCTTCAGCTGACGAGACCGGCATCGTGGACAAGTTCCATGATATCTGGAATGTGGCCAAAGTTGGGAATATGCAGATTAATTATATCTTCCCATGGCCAGACAGCGACGACGACGATAACATCCTTTAATTAATATCTGTTTTTCTATTCTATTTGTGTCTAATCCGTGTTGTGACAGCTATGACCATGCATGGTGTCATGTGAGATCACATTACTATTTGTATGTTTTGTTCTTTTTATTTTGTTTGAAGACATGGTCGATCTTGGCCACCAATATTTTGACAAATTATTGTAATTGTAATAAGTTGTGTTATTTATTGCAACAATGTGCGTTATGTTTGATGTTGTATTTATGTCTATGGTAACATTATGGGGACATATAATATTAATTACGCGCACCATGTTTGATGTTGTTCTTTTTATGTCTATTGCGTCGGCTGGGACAGCCTGGAAGCAGCGGCGCGGTGACGGGACACCGAGCTCTCCGCCTGCTGCTCGAGGGCAATGTCAAGGAGCCGCCTTGCCTCATGGAGCCTCTCGTTGTTCTTCGGATCCGGCGTGTCGGAGATGTCTCCGAGGCGACAGGCGGCGGCTACCATGTTGTAGGCCGCGTGGGGGAAGCGCAGCGTGCTGGGCACCCCCGTGCGGTTGTCGTTGTCGCGAAGAGCGGCCTGCTGCTACTCCATCTCCTCCCTCGTCCTCTTGAGCTCGGCTTCGGCGGCGTCGAGATCCACCTGCCAGGACTGGAGGCGCGCATCCTTCTCCTTGAGGTAGGCCGCGTGGCTGGTGGGGCTCAGATCCGGAGGTGTGAAGTCAGGAGCATCGGCGGCGGCAGCCCTGTCGTTGATGAAAAAGCACTCGCGGGAGGGAGAGAAGTAGTCGACGTTGTCGGAGTCGTACTCCAGGCCATACCCAGAGAGAACCTCAAGGAAGTTGTGCAGAGAGGGGAAATCGGTCCCCGCCGCCCCCGAGAGGATGACGCCACGCGGCGCCTCTCAGCAGACGAGGTGCTCCAACTTGAGCTGGAACGACGTCGCCGCATTCTGGATTCCGTATACGAGATCATGGAGGTAGTACCAGAAGCGGTCGGGTGGCGAAACCACCTCACCGGTGATTATTTGGTAGTGGACGTTCGCCAGCATGTAGAATATCTGGTGTTGTTCCAACACAGTGGGGTTCGGGCCTAGCCCGAGCCAGATCTACCGGGCGAGGACCTCGAGGTCCGCTCCCACCAGCGCTGTCTCCTTGAGGGGGTGAAGCTCACCGTAGCAGTCGCCGACGTAGTCCAAGCTCCCAAAGTTGATAACTTTGCCAAGGACGAAGGCGCCAGCGGCGACGACGATCTTGCCGGAGAAGCAGACGCCACCTTCTGGGGCAGCACCGCCTGCTTCAGTGACGAGGCGGGTGGCTCCGACCACCATAGAGTCATAATCACACTCGACGCGCTCCCCTACCTGGCGCGCCAGCTGTTGTGGGTCCTTTGCCGCGGCAAGCATCGTGATTGTTCGTCGGATGTTGGAAGTGTGGGTCTCCGGTGGCTCGGGTACTCAAAAACTCAAGGGAGACATAGTGGTTTATCCTGGTTCGGGCTATCGAGGCCCTACATCCAGCAGTTTGGTGTTCTACGTGTTCAGGAGCACCCAAGTCGGGGGGTTACAACGGAGGAGAACGGGGATTTGGTAGAGGATCGCTCGGTGCTATCCTATGGCTCGTCGGCGGTGAGGTTTCTTCCTGGCGAGTGAGGAATCGGCCCTGTTTCTAGCTGGGTGGCCGAGGGGAACACTCCGTTGTTCCTCTGCTTCTCGGGATAGGATCTCTCTCTAGTGACCAATCAGGCTCTCAGTTCTGTTCTGTTGCCCTCTCGGCCCGTTTCTCCCTCTCTATGGGAGCCGACCCTCCCCTTATATTTTGAGGAAGGTCGGGTACAAGTCGGTTTGGTGTTTCGGTCTATGGTCTTCATGCACCGGGTTTAGGAGGGTGCTGCCGCGGCATGGATGGACCTCGGCTTCGTTGTCTATTGAGGAGCTGGAGGAGCTGCTGGGGCCGCCTGTCACTTGACAGTTAGGGGTTGTTTGCTGCGGTCCAACCTCCCCCAGGTGAACCTTCTCGAGGCCTCCTTGGCCGCGAAGGAGCCTCGACCTGAGGGGCTGATGAGTGGGCCCTAAAGACCTACCATCCCTAGAGTCAGTGAAGCTGCTTGTTGTGTTGTGTCACGCTGATTGCGTGACCCTATCGGAGGAGTGATGGATAGCGCCTCGTGTCCATTTGTCTTGGAGGCACTATCGAATCTCTACGCCCGCCGGGCTTCGAATGCTCGATGGGGTTGATAGCTCAGGATGCTGCCCGGACGCCCGGGCGCTAGCTTGGGCCTGTGCTAGGTCGGAGTCAAGCTCGGGCCACCGTCGCTTGGCATCCTGGGCCCTCTTGAGCCCCGAGTAGCGGCGGTAGACGCGCTCGGGCTAGGCCTAAGTCCTTCCAGAGGGTGCACGCGAGCGTACTCAATGGGTATAGCCCCCGAGCGATCTGTGAGATCGGTCAGGGGTCCGTCCACTACTACAGAAATGAGATCTAGTCCCGGTTGGGAACTAGCTCTACTCCCGGTTTCCCAACCGGGACTAGCAATCTGGGGCTAAAGGTGTTGTTCTTTAGTCCCGGTTTACCACAACCGGGACTAAAGATCCTCCCAGCTTTAAAAAAAAATAATGCCTCCCACCGCTGCGCCCTGTGAGATTCGAACCCAAGACCTCATGCACTGCCTCGCGCGTAGCTTACCACCCCACCTACACAACACATCTAACAATGGATGGGATGCTTTCCTTTTGAACTAACCCATCCGGTGACCTTTAGTCCCGGTTGGTGTTACCAACCGGGACTAAAGGGTCCTTTAGTCCGAGTTGGTGTTACCAACCGGGACTAAAGGGTCTACCTTTAGTCTGGGTTGGTATTACCAACCAGGACTAAAGGTTGGAGGACTTTTAGTCCCGGTTTAGCCGTTGGGCAGGGACCTTTAGTCTCGGTTGGAGACACCAACCGGGACTAAAGGCCTTCTAGTCCCGAGGGCAAAAAATGCCGAGGCTAATGCCAAATTGGGACATCGTTCTAAAGTCTGTTCTCTAGTAGTGGTCAATCGGCAATTCCTTACCGGGGAGTTAGCGTACCCCTAGGTTTAACTCTCATCAACTAGTTTAGCTCAGCTTTTCAATTAGAATATAATTTGACTAAATTAATATCATTCGCATGGTTTTGTTTAAGTAAAAATCAATCAAGCCTATAGTCTTTTCTTATATATTATAAATCATTCGGAAGTCATCTCTTTTGCACCATAGTTCTGTTTTTGGTGTTTCTTGCGTTCCTATGACTGTGGCAATGAGCCTCTCTTTTAGCATGCTATATTCAAGCTTTTGCTTTGATTGGTGAACTTTTCTTAGTTGTTTTTGCACTACAAGAAATGTGTGGTTTCTTGACGTATTTAGTATGACAACATGTCATAATGTCATTATATCATCCGGTTTATGACATTCTGTTTTAGGCATTTTGACTTAGTGACAATAAAAAGTTGCTCGGGCTGCGCAATCATAAAAAAATATGGGCAAAAAAAATAAAAATGAAATAATGGACTAGGCAATATCAACCCTAAAAAGCTTGTGGCCCATGAAGAGGCTACCTGCTATGTGGGCTTTAGTAGGCCAAAATTCATTTTGTGACGTTTTTTTTCCTGCCATGTCAGTGCCATGTCAGCTTTTGATCCTACGTGGCATTTCCCCATGTGGCAAGGCCTAGGATTTTGTGACTATAAACCAAAGTCATAAACCTATATGACACTAAAATCCATTGTCATAAGCTTGTGACAATAAATATACAAACGTCACATAATCCGGTGGTTTTTTGACGTTTGAATTTTTGTCAACTGAAAGTCATAAATCTTAAGTTGTGACATTAATTCCATATATTTTGACATAAATAGAATGTCAAAAAACCACATATTTCTTGTAGTGTTGTTTTATGTACGTGTATGTTTCACTACTGGAATGAGGAAGTTTGCCATGTGCCCACGGCACACGGCGAAGCCCAAAAAACACTTGGCAAAGCCTTTGTCGAGTGTTACACTCGGTAAACGGCACTCGGCGTACACAGAGTCGGCAAACGTTTCTTTGCCGAGTGTTTTTTATCGGGCGCTCGGCAAAGACTTTGCCGAGTGTTTTTTGGGCACCGACACTCGGTAAAAAATTGAAAAATATAAAAAAAACCACCGCTGCCGCCACCGCCACCACGCGGTCTGCCCCGCCGCCGCCGCCACCTCGTGGCTCGCCCTGCCGCTGCCGCCACCCCACGGCTCGTCCTGCCGTTGCTCTCCACCGCCACCACGTGGCTCGCCCTGTCGTTGTTCGCCCGCCGCCGCCGCCATGCGGCAATCCTCGCCGCTGCTCGCCACCGCCACCACGCGGCTCGCCCCACCACTGCTCGCCCGCCGCTGTCACCACCGCCTAGCTGGCCCGCCGCTTCCCACCCGGGCTGCCGCCGCCGCCGCCACCTGTGCAAAAAAAGAGAGAGAGGGAGGGAGATGGGGAAGGAGGGAGATGGTGGCGTCGGGAGGGAGGGGAGGGGCGGCGCCGGGAGGGAGGGTGGAGAGGGAGAGGGAGGAGGGGGGGTGGCGTCGGGAGAGGGAGAGGAGGGAGGGGAGGGGGCGGCACCGGGAGAGAGAGGGGAGGGAGGGGAGGGGCGGCGGGAGAGGGAGCTTGCTAGTAGTCGGCCTTATATTAGCTGGTGATTGATCATCACGCGTACGTATGTACGTCCATGAGAACTAATCAACCAACCAACATACATACATACATATAATAATATATGTACAATTAATTATTGGGTTATGAGAAATAAATAATAAACATGGCTGTCTCGAACGCCCATGCATTCCCATTCCATTACTAGTTCAGAAGCACAAAATTAAGCATTCAACTGTCTGCATATTACAGTGATGGAGACAGTGCACACAGATTAAACATGGCTGCCTCGCGCCTTACTAGCAAATCGATCGATCGAGATTCGAGACACACACACACAACTACGAGAGAGATCGAGACTGCAAGCTAATGAACCAAGACACGACCGACGAAGATCCATCGATCTGTCCATCGACGAGCTGAGGACGGATCGAAGAACATACTACACACAACAAATTAACTAAACAAAGGCACACACACACAATAAGAACTCGAAACTAACAAGTACTACTACTCACTCCGATCCAGCAGACTGCTGCTGAGATTCAGAGGCAGGCAGGCTAGGCAAGATAGCTACTGGTACGTACGGTGCTTCCATGCACGCACAAGCATGGACATGGATCTGTCGTCGTCGCTGATGGAGATGGCCGGACTGCTCGATGATGATGAGGACGGAGGTCGGACATCGGAGAGGTCGGAGGTCGGAGGAGCTAGGTCTTGCTAGCACATGCCCTTGTTGGAGGGGCTGGGCACGCCGGGTCGCGGATCAAGCCGCGTGCGTAGGGGATGATGTCCCTGCCCTCCTTGTCCTTGGGCATCCAGGCGCTGGCGTTGACGAAAGGGTCCGCGGTGTACTGCGCCGCCTCGCCGCAGTCGGTGACGACGCGCACGGCGGTGGTGTTGATGCGGCGGCTCGTGTCGGCGCCAGGCCCGTAGTTGGCGTACTCCAGATACACCACCGTGTCTGGAATGTGGCCGTTGCTCCGGTTCCACTCCACCCAGCCGGTGAAGTTGACGATGGAGCCGAGGAAGGTCTCCATGAAGATCACGTGGGAGTGTTCCTTCCACGGGCGGCCGAGGAAGGTCTCCACCCCCGTGAGGTTGGCGCCCTCGTCGGCGGTGACCGGCGCCCCTGCGCGGTAACCACGTTGTGAGCGCCGGGCTTGCTGGCGCCGGAGCTGCGAACCAGGAGCCGGCAACCCAGGAAGGCTGCCCTGGCGTAGCCGAACACGAAGTCCACGGTGCCGTGGATGTCCGTCTCCAGATACATCTGGTCTCCGGTGTCGGCGTCGAGGGTATCCTGATACCCCTCGATCGAGCACCGGTAGACCAGGGAGAAGTGCGATCTTGACAAGAGCGCCACTGCCTGCAGACCCTCTGGGCCTGCCGTGTTCTGGATCGTGAGGTCCTGGGCCATGAAGCCCTTCCCATGAACACCTGCACCATGCATGCGCAACAAGCAAAGTCAAGAAACATGCTCATGCATGCATGGGTGATCGACAGAGGAGACGCGCGTGTGAGGATGATCGGCACTTACTCACGGTAGCAGTGTCCGGCGTGCTGAGGTTGTGAAACCGGTGGCTCTTGTTCCCGGTGATCACCGTCTTCCCGGCGCCTTCTCCGATCAGGATCACATGCTTCCGGGTGATGTTTAGAGTCTCATTGTACACTCCCTCCTTGATGAATATGGTGAGAATGCTTTGCTCGCTACCAATTTGGTCCTCTTGCGCCGCCAAAGCAGCGGTGATGCTGGCAAACTGGCCGTCGCCGCTGGTGGCGTTCTTGGCCACGACAACGCGCTTCGTCCCCACCATTTCTCCGAGCGATGGCCGCGCTCCGCCCAGGGCCAGAAGCCGCTCGACCCAGAGCGGCAGCTTGCCACCGCCCAGTGCCTCCGTGTCCGTGGTGGTGGAGAGGCCGTGGCCGCAGCCGCCTACTGTTGGCGTTGGCGGCAGCGTCACCGCCGTGGCTGCAGGCAGCCAGTGCCCACTGCCGCCTGTCATGGTGGGCGGCGCCTCCGTGTCCGTGGTGGAGAGGCCGCTGCCGCCCCCGCCTACTGTTGGCAGCGTCACCGCCATGGCTGCGGGCGGCCAGTGCCCACTCCCGCCTGTCGTCGTTGGCGGCGCCTCCGTGTCGGTGGTGGAGAGGCCGCCCCTGCCGCCAAGTGTTGGCAGCGTCGCCGCTGTGGCAGGCGGCCGCACACCGCCGCCGGTCGTGGTTGGCAGGGCCTCCGAGGTACCGGAGGTGCCACCAGGAGCCATGATGGTGGCCATCAGCAGGCATGCAAGAACAAGCGATGTGGAAGTAGCTTGCGCCATTGCTTCTTGATGGATGGATGGATGGAACTGCTCACAGTGAACCGAGCTAGGTCCTTATATGCAGGAGCAGGAGAGACCGCCTAGGGAAGACGACATGCTACGTACCATGCTACGTACAACAAATTAATATAGTAATTATCGTAACTCAAAGTGGCTACAGAATAAGTTATAGTAGTTATATATATATATATATATATACCCCTAAGGTAGCCGATCCTCTTTTTCTTTTACTGTGGGAAATTAAAGTGCGTCTCCTAATTGATAATTTGCTGCGAAATTCATCATATCATTTTAAAAAAAAAGTATTTTGCACGTCTTCGATAACCTTTCTTTTAATTCCTTTCACTTGCTAGGGTTGAATTCTGACAAAAAAAATTTTGAATTCTATTAGAGACAAGGTGTTGGAAAGTCACGGTGATGTAATTTGTCTTCAGGGAACCAAAAGAGAGTTGTTTGACATCAGTTTCATTAGAAATTTATGCCCCCTATCCTTTGACTCCTTCCAATTCAAACCTTCAGTGGGAGCTTTAGGTGGGATCCTTATCATTTGGAAAGGATCAATCTTTAGTGGTGTGGAAGTTTTTCAAAATGAGTTTGCCATCTCAATGGAATTTACATCAAAATTCAACAATGAAAGCTGGATCCTAACCACAGTTTATGCCCCCTGTACTCCCAGTGGCAAAAGATTGTTTCTTGAGTGGTTCAAGAACATCCATGTGCCAGACCACATAGACTGACTAATTGTGGGAGACTTCAATCTCATTAGAAACCAGAAGACAGGAATAGGTATGGTGGTGATGTTAATGAAATGGATCGGTTTAATGAGGCTATTAGTGCTTTGGGAGTCATTGAGATCCCACTCCATGGGAGACATTTTACCTGGTCTAACAAGCAATTTAATCCCCTTTTGGAAAGGCTAGAATGATTCTTCACATCTTCCTCTTGGACAATCAAATACCCTAGAACCCTAGCAAAGGCTTTAGTCATGGAGACCTCGGATCATTTTTTGGCCCTCCGTTGGCAGTTGTTTTCTTTGTTGTTGTTCAGGGTTGTTTTATAATTTGGCCATTAGTTGGCAGCAGCTTCTTTTTTTCGTTCTTGTTGTTTGTGGTTGTTTTTGCAATTTGCCTCCCAGTTGGCAGCTTTATTTTTTTTATTCTTGTTGTTTTGGGTTATTTCTAATTTGGCCCCCAGTTGGTAGCTTTTTTTTATTCTTGTTGTTAGGGATTGTTTTTATAATTTGGCTCCTAATTAACAGCTTGTTTTGTTGTGTTATTGTAGCTTTTTTTGAAAAAAAAATATCCTCCCAATTGCAAGCTTGTTTTGTTGTATTGTTGTTGTTGTGGGGACGTTTTTAAAATTTGCCCGCATTTATTGGCAGATTGTTTTGTTTTTATTTTTGGTGTTTTTGGGTTGTTTTTAAAATTTGTCGCACCAATTAGCAGCTTGTTCTTGTATATGTTCGCTACATAGGAGTCTATGTTTTTGTTGCTTCCTAATTAGGACCGCGGTAGATATATAACGGCCAACTATCATATTGTTTTGGACTATGGATTTGACCAACTGTCTTTTCATGTCGCTACTTTTTATAATTCTTATTAAACATGATCCCGTATACTCGTGCATGTTGGTTAATGTTGTTGCATCGTCCATATTGATTAGGGTTGCATCATCCATTTTTTTATTTTAGGCTCAATCAAAATTCCAAATGTATCGTGTATAAAATATTTTCAGAGACCTGGATAGTGAAACACAGCGTCTCTGGTAGCAGATTGGCTTTAGCAGCGACCCACATACGACAACGAACCGAGACCCATATGCGAGTGAACACATCAAAGTATAGGTGGTGGTGCGATCTTTACATAACTGTCAGTTATGTTACTAATTTTTGTTTAGCCCCCGGTTGGCAGCTTGTTCTTTTTTTATTTTTAGGGATTGTATTTATAGTTGAGCCTCCAGATGGCAACTTGTTCTTTTATATGGTCACAATGCAGGAGTTTGTATTTTTGTTGCTTCGTAATTAGGGTCGTGGCATGTCTAATAATTAGTTGTAATGATTTTTAGGACCTTTTAAAATTAAATTTGTCCTTATTTTTCAAACATGTTTTCTTTCAATTTGTTATTTCTGCAGCTGCATTTTTCACGTAATGATTTTTTTATGCTGCTCCGATTCACTAAAGAAGGTTGTGGCACGTGCGTTCATCATAAGTCTATAATCTGGAGCATCGGCCAAAATGCACTTGAACAACAGACATCAAACGGAACAATAGAATTCAATAGGCTGCCAGATTAAAATCTCATGGTCTGAAATTCGTGTGTTGATACACCTGTAAACACTCAATTATATTTCTTTTCCTGTTGATTGCGGTTGTTTTCAGGGCTGTGAACACGCGGTTGTTGACAGGCTTTGAAACACACGAACAACAGGTTGCATCAAATTAAGGGAGTGTCTAGTTATCTGTAGACAGATTTCGTGTGGTCAAATCTGTTAGATTTTTTATAAATGCGACCCAATAGTTACAAACCCGTTGAAGTGACAGTTGTAACACAAATCCTAAAGCACAATCCGACGTGTAGAAATATGACAGATTTAGTACATAAAATATATGTCGACAGATAAATAGCAAAAGTCTCAAATTAAATTAAACATCCGAAACGGATTGGAAAAGAAATATAACTGAATTAATTAACCGTGTCACCGAATTAAAATGCATGAATCAAAAAAACCAGGTACGTATATATATATACAGAGTAGGCTACTGTATGTGACACCGATCCATGGCGCTAGCTAGCTAGCTAGCTGAAAAATAAAAGGTCACCCAACTACACATCTGACGATGGCTGGAACGCTATGCCAAAACAGCACAAAGGAGACACCTTCATCAGTGACCTGCAATTAAAACACGTCACTAATTTCATATCGGTGACACGTGTAAATGGAACGCGTCACTCATTAGAACTTGCCCATGGTCAGAAATCAAAACACGTCACTAATGATAAATTATTAGAGACTCTTCATAATTTTGAGTTCTAGACTCTGCATTCTTCATGCCTAGGAGTGGTTCATCACTTATTCAGTGCATCATTTGCTATGGAGAAAAAAATCAACAAATGTCTAGTAATGTCATTAGGAACCTGTGATCTGTACATAAAAACTTTGCTTCATGTACCTAGATATAGGCATGATCACAATTTGCCAGTGCTGGATGGCTGTTCTACACTGCAACATCCACTCTGATTGGACAGTCACTTCCTTTGATCTATTAATTGATGATAGTTTATCGTAATAGAAGCAATATCACACATCAGACCATGCAAATTTGCACTGGACCTACATAGTCGGGTGAACATCTCTTTTTTTCATGTTGGCACATACTGAAATACATATCACTGGCTTCTCTTTTTTTTTTACTTAGTATATCTGGCCAAGTAGCAATATCACTGATCTTTTTGCTGCCATTGAAAACTTTGTTAGTCAGGTAGATGTTGTGCCATTATATTAAAGTAAGATACCGACCTGCCTGTGCTTTCTGTTCACTGAGTAGTCAGTTTGGGTTGTTAGACCATGGCTCATTGTAAGCTTATGTCTTGTAGGAGCTATCATATGGTATGAAAAGTAGCACGTCTCAGAAAGATCTTCAAAAATCTAATGCTTCAGAGCTTCCTTCACAAGGAAAAGCTGCATCGGCACTGGTACTTGATGGGTGGGATAGTATTGTTCTTGAATATTCTGTCGACTGGCCTTTGCAACTCTTCTTCACTCCTGATGTTCTGTCCAAGAAAGTATCATAGGACATAAGCAATTCTCAAAAAAGCTACTCATTTCATTTTAGGTTGCATGGTTTTGTTATGAGTGTACACATATTTTTTTAAAACCGTTACAAAACAGGCTCTATTGGACTCAGAATTCAGATCCTAAGAAACTTGCCTCTACCAACCAATTTATAGGGTCACTTTCACTTATACTCTGTTTTTTCCTTCTGTTATGTTTTCAGCTATTATATGTTGTCTTTTCTTTTGGTCCTTGTGCAGTGTTTCCTGATCTGATTCTGTTATACAATCAAGGGCAGCATTAGTTAGTGGCAGGCTCCTTTCTTTAGCTGATGCATTGACACTTCATAGCAATAGATCAACCATGTAAGCATCATTTCATTCAGCAAACTCCTGTTTAAAAGGAATTTGTATTTCTACAACTAGCTATAAAAAGATGTATAGTACTGACATCGAGGAGTCTATATGATCACTTGCTCAAATTTGTAAAGCCAAATAGATTGTCAACTATAATTTCTGTTTGGCAAGAAAAAGAAATGATGGAACCATCAAATTAGTTCTGATGTAGAATATTAGTGGAAATGTGTTGAAACTGTATTGAACCCAGAATTTCGTGAAAAGGGCAACTTTTTAATTAAGAGTGAAGAGTGATAGTTCTGTCCTATCCTCAAATGTTTATCTGGCGGTACCTCCAAGTATAAAAAAATATCTATCTGTCCTATCCTCAAATGTTATAACAGATCGAGTGACTGACTATAAATGATACTTTTTAGCAGTATTTTCTGGATGTGCTCAAGTGTTTTAAATTTTCAGTTGACCCTAATGTAAATCTGCAGTTGTTGCCTATTCTATTATTTTGCTCTGTGACTGTTATATTCTTCTGAATGAGTGCAGTTTCAGTTGCCCCCTCTTATTGTTTCTGTTGATTTGACTACAATTTGAGGCACAATTGACATCCTTGCTGACAATGTTAGTGTACTGACTACCATAAACTTCATAGTAACTCCATTCATACCTATTTTTCCATTGTCACAGCTTCTCTAAAGCTAGTCTTTGGAACACTGCAATTGGATTGCACTGAAGTCAATTAGTTTACAGGTTCGCCATTGGCTTGGTATTGTATTTTTAGTACAGATTATTCAGCTACTTATTAGTGCAAATTATAGAGAACAAATTCATTTTCACATGATGCTTAAGCATATAGTCACTGAATATCTGATATACTTATC